GGGCAGTGGGGAGAGGGGTTATTAGCAATACAAGACAGCCGAACTGAACACACCAGCCGAGGAGGTGAGGGAGCATTCCGCCGGCGGCGGGGAGGGAGCCCCAAGAGGCCGCCCCTAGAACCTGCTAGAGCTACTCCCTCTTACACGCAGACCTTACATACGCAGAGACAGGGAGCTGCTGGCCAATATGCACATCGAGGTCCATCAACGGCGTTGATCCCGGCGTTCCCATTCTAGTAGAACGTGCATATGGCTGGCACTGCCGTTCGGTGGTGCAGTGGACCACAGGGAACAGAGCCCCTCAGCGCCCCGTCCCCCACAACACACGCAGGGCTTGCGGCCGGCGTAATGTAATTATAATAATGTCTGCCGTACCTTTGATGGAGCACCGTCAACGGTACGGCACCCCCCACGAGCATGCCGCCGCCGCCGCTCTCGTCTATCAGCCCTAAGCCCGACGGAGTGATCGCCTCGTCCGTTTGCGGTGTCCGCGGCGGCGGCAGCGGCAGCGGCGGCGGTGGTGGCGGCGGCGACGCTGGTGGTGAGGATAACGGGGGCGACGGCGATGGCGGCGGGGGCGGCGGCGTCCCCGCAGTGCTTCCGTCGCCAGTGGACGATGACCCATGGACACGTGGCCTCCCCGTCGCCGCCGCCGCCGCCGCCTCAGCCTCAAGGCGGCTCAGCTGCAAAGCGTACTGCAACTCCTCGTCATCATCCTCGTATACGACGGCACCTGATGAGGAAGATGACGAGGAGGATTCGACGTTGCGCGAGTGCGGGGACATACGCCGCCGGCCGTGAAGGGTGCCCATTGCCGCCGGAGAACCGGAGTCGCCGGCGGCGGCGGCGGCGGTGGCGGCGGCGGCGGCGGGGCGCAGAACCTCGGCACCCGCCGCCGCCGCGGCTGCACCGCCGCCGGACCGCCGGAGAGATTTCAAGGCAGACGACGGCGAGGATGGGTAGGCTTGAGAACTAGCCGGCGGCGAGGGTGAGGTTAACGGTATACGGTACGATACTGCCTGCGCCGCTGGGTAGTCATTTGGACTACGATACGGGGAGCCGGGGGGCCGTAGCGCCGCCGCAACGCCGCTGGTGCTGCTGCTGCTGCTGCTGTGCCGCGGCAGCTCGCGAGGCGAGGATGTCGCTGCGGCTGCGGTGCCGGCGGCTTTAGTCGCCGTGGCCGCCGCACCCGGGCCAGTGCCGCGCTGATGAGCAGTGTTGCCACTGCCGGTAACCGGCACTGTGGCAGTTCTGCCTGCCAGGCTGGTGCCAGCGGCGGTGGCGCCGCCGCTGCCGTACCACTGCGAGCTGCGGGAACCACCGGCCGAAGCCGTAGCGGTCGTCGTGACGGCAGCAGCAGCGGGGTTGTAAGCCGCCCCAGCAGTGGCGGCGGCGCCAGGGCTCGCCCGTCCTGTCTCTGATACGCCGTACTGCTGCAGCTGCTGCTGCTGTTGCAAGAGCGCTGCCATTCCCGAGGACGCCGCGGCAGCAGCACCTCCGCTGCGCGGCGTTGAAG